TGGGTTCATTTTTTGTTTATTTTAGAATTCTGAGATTGAATTTCAATGTGCTGGCAGACACTTGAAAAGGGGTAGATGCCACCCAATGGCTTCAAGAATCTATTTATAAAGATGGGTTTCTATTCTGTACATAAGCTTTAGGGCTGAATCGTTCGGGTGTATTCCACCGTGTAGATCCTAATAATTTTATGAGTTTAGGGCTTATGACCGAGTTATGTCCTTCTATATTTAATTTATTAAGCTAGCCTAAAATGTTGAGAATCCAATTGAATTAAGCATCGATGATGGTTTGTTTGTCCGGGCTTGGATAATGATTGTGAATAGTTGTTTGAAGTACACGATGCTTATGGCTTGTGGTATTTCTTTGAGCAGTTATAGCATCTGCATTCACCGGGACGTATGGGATCAATTATGGTAGGATAGCAAATAATATACCTTCGCCCGAAATAGTTGTTACTATACTGAAGGCTGCAAAGATCAAGAACGTGAGGATCTATGATTTTGACCACAGTGTTCTCAATGCATTTAAAGGGAGTGGTCTCGAGTTAGTAATTGGTCTCCCGAACGAGTATGTAAAGGATATGAGTAGTAATGCAGATCATGCCCTGACATGGGTCAGAGATAACGTCCACGCCTTCCTCCCCGAGACCCACATAGTAGGGATTGCCGTGGGGAATGAAATTTTGGGCGGGGCTGATAATGATCTTGCGTCATCTTTATTGGGTGCCGTGAAAAATATACACAATGCAACCAAAACTCTCGGTTTGGATCGTCTCGTTCAGATTTCCACTGCTCATTCTCAGGCGGTTTTCGCGAATTCTTATCCTCCCTCTTCCTGCATCTTCAAAGAAGGAGTTGCTCAACTAATGAAGCCTCTATTGGACTTCTTTTCTCAAATCGGCTCCCCTTTCTGTCTCAACGCATACCCCTTTCTGGCTTACACTTATAACCCCGGCAAAATAGATATAAATTACGCTCTTTTTCAGCCCAACCAGGGGATATACGATAACAAAACCAATTTACATTACGATAACTTGCTGGATGCTCAGATTGATGCAGCCTATGCAGCCTTACAAGATGCAGATTTCAAGAAAATGGAAGTCATAATAACAGAAACTGGTTGGGCTTCTCACGGGGACGAGAATGAACCTGCAGCTACTCCTGACAATGCAAGAACATATCACTACAATCTGCGAAAAAGGTTGGCCAAGAGGAAAGGAACTCCAATGAGGCCAACAACTATGTTGAAAGCATACATATTTGCTTTATTCAATGAGAATTCCAAACCTGGAGCGGGTTCTGAGAAATACTATGGATTGTTCAAAGCAGATGGGACTATTTCCTATAATATTGGCTTTCCTGGACTTAGATCTTCATCCGCAACTTCTTCCCGGCAGGTACCGTACTTCCTTTCCAGGATATGATTTACAATTTGGGCAATCTGGCTATTATGATAATTGTTAGATGATTTTCTTGAATCGATTTAAGAGGAGATAAATGTCTGTCTTTTGTGCGATAAAATTTTAGGTTGGAGCAAAGAATAGATTTTTCCACTTAAAATATTACTTAGGTTAGGCCCATAGAGAAAAATTCAGCATGCATGTGATTTGCGAATCATAACATCCGTAGAGATGTCTCCTTTAATTCATTTACTTTATATATATCTCACAGTCTCAGCTCCAACAAACCATATACTAAATTTGTCGGGCCTAGTTGTCATGATCCTATCTTGCAAGAGATCTATTCTGAAGTGTCCACTTTTTTAGGACCTTTTTGCATTCTTCTTCTTCTTCTTCTTCTTCTTTTTTTTTTTTTT